TATAATAAACTTTATGGATTTAGGGTACATGCAATCCATTATTGTTGGGGATGGGGAGGGGATGTGCAGCTGAAGGAGGTTAAGCAGCTCTTTTAATTGACTGGCAGAGCCCATCAATTAAAAAATATTTATTTATTTGTCCAATTTATATGGCCGCCCATCTCACAAGTGACTCTGGGCAGATTAAATCAGTTATCATTACTATTATTAAAAACATTAAAAACTATATATAAAAAAAGCTAAGACTAAGAAATAGTAGGTGAAAGGATCTTAATAATAATGGAGCACCTCATTGGTGTACCAGTCCCTTAGGGTCCCCAGGCCTGATGGCACAACCAGGTCTTGAAAGACCCATGGAAGTTCAGAAGTGCTGGAGCCAATCTCACCTCAGTGGGGAGAATATTCCACAATGCAGGCACCACAGCAGAAAAGGCCTGCCATCTAGGCCCCGCCAAATGTAGCTTCCTCAATGACAGAACCCGTAACATGCCCTCTCTGCTGGATCTGGTGGGACTGGCAGATGTAATCGGAAAAAGGTGGTCCCTCAAGTAACCCAGTCCCATGCCATGTACTGTAGGACTTTAAATGTCAAAACCAGCACCTTGAATTGGACGCGGAAACCAACTGGTAACCAATGCAGTCCACAAAGCAGAGGTATCATGTGTGTTTTACCAGAAGCATACATAATTGCTCGAGCCACTACATTTTGCACCAGCTGAAGTTTCTGGATACTCTTCAAGGGCAGCTCCATGTAGAGTGCATTATAATGGTCTAACTAGGAGGTTACCAGGACATGAGTAACCATGAGTAGGGCCTCTTGATATAGGAATGGGCACAATATGAAGTTGTGCAAAGGTCCTCCTAGCCATGACTGCCACCTGCTCATCAAGCAGGAGTCCTGAGTCCAGGGGACCCCCAAATTGCACACAGCATCTGTTTGGGGCAATGCAATCCCATTTAGCACCAAAGATGGCATAGTCCTAGAACCGGGGAGGTCCAAAACCCAAGCCACTCAGTCTTGCCAGTGTTCAGTTGAAGCCTGTTGTTCCCCATCCAGACGCTCACAGCTTCCAGACACCGGGATAAGATGTCCACAGCGCTGAGGAGGGTTTGGGGAGTTTCTTAGCATTTACACTATGTTAGACCTATTTGGGGTCTTCTACTACTATCTGCCACTTCAAAATATGGGAACATTTTGTGCCCTTCCTTGCTTTGTAGTCTTTTTGTCATATGCAAAGTAATACTTGCCAGGATGATGCCCAGAATCGGATTCAGTACTCCAAGTGGAGTCTAATCCTTTTTGTTGGTTTTGGTATCGTGTAGGGAACCATGGAGGTGACTTTGGAGAAACTATTCAGAGCTTGTTACAAGAACAACATGCACAAAAACATGATGTGAGCCCAGGAAACAGGGAAGGAGGAAAAGACAGACTGGCTCCTCCTCCCTGATTCCCTGGGATATAAGAGGGAGGAAAGAGAAAATTCAGTCAGGCTTGCAATATTCTCTTACAATAGCCTATCTCAATAAAGTGTAGTTCTAATTTTCTTGTGGAATCTGTTTCTTCAGAGCTTTAGCTTTTTGAGATGGTCTCTACAGTTTTTAGAGATTACCTTGTTTTCTCCCTTCACATGTTCTACACTTACATACATACAGTATATGAGTGAAATTCAAAAAATCACCAAATCTCATGAGAGCTCATGCAAAATGCAGAAATCTCACAAAATTACCAGTAGACAAAAATGTCATGAGACATAAGTCTTGTTGGAATGACCAAAAACTGAGATTTAGCAGTCTTGTGAGATTTCAAGTGATTGCATTATGTATTGGATTTTTAATACCCTAGGTATGATAGTTGCAGAGTCATGGCAAGTAGGCCATTGTAGAAATGGAAATAATAGAGAAATAAATATAAAAATAAATGATGTTTCTGAACCTTTATGTTTTAAATTTACTTAAATTTATATGTATCATTATATATATTGTTGTTGTTTGTAAGATGTACTAGAAGGGCTTTCTGAAAGGCTTTTTGGAAATGTGTTAAACTAAAGATGCAAAGAAATAAAGAGAATGAATGATCATAAAATTAATTTACATAAAATTTTGCCACCTAGCCATCAAATCCTGCTACTGTTCCTTTAAAACCCCATCAACCAGCAAAGACAGAATTGTACATTTCAATGATTGACAAAGTAAAGGAAAAGTTCATTATAAGAAGGTTAGCAGCACAGTTCAAAATGATCAACTACTAGTTATTAAAGAGGGTGGAACAGTTAACACAACTAACCACATTCAAGATCTTTTAAGGACCTCCTGCAGGTTGATTGCTGTCTTGTTAAAGAAAGTATTATTCTTCTATCCTGCTATATATCCACATTTCAGCTGATGCCCAGCCATGGTGAGGGCTCTTAAGGATTCTTCTTCCAGCATCTTATATAAGCATCAACAATTCATCAACTTAACATGGAGGTTCATTTAAACTTTAAGTCTACCCACAGGGTACTGACATGCTGAAGTACTTTCATCTGCTGATTTATTTAATGCTCAAAGATCACAATGCAGTTTTTAAAAAAATCTAAAATTTTAAAATGCAGTTAAAAAAAAGACTAATGGTATCATAACAATTGTTATAAACAAAAATAGATTATATATTAGTCAACTGGCCATATTATTTCCATTCTAATTGTTGGCTTTGGAATTGCTTTTATTCTTTCACATAACTGCCAGAGGCTGGAACTTGAAAAGATGTTTCTCTAACTACGTTGTTGTCTTCTGCAAAATGAAGACTGTTGTTGGGTTTTCAGAAAATCATTGAATCTCCACAGTTAGCAGAAGAGGCTCCTGAAGGTTCCTTTTAATCCATAGGCATTATGTAATTATTGTGCCCCTCTTTTCATAATTTTTTTCCCTTTTTTGTAGAGAGGAAAAAAGAAGAACCAATGCAATGAAAAAACAAGGAAGGCTTATAAGTTAAGGACAATAATCAGAATCCTGTGAAATGTGTTGATTGTGTTAAGTCTTCTCCACCCATCCTTGAGTTGGAAGAGAACTACAGTATACTAGCAGAACTTTCCTTTCTCCATTGCTGATCCCTATCTTCTTATTTTTCCCTGGTTTTCCTCCAAAGTCATGGAGGACAAAGGCTAAAAGAATTTATACATCTTCAGGCTACTCTTGGTGTCCAAATGTGATGGAAAATACTACTTTAATACCATTCTGGAGCGCAGAACATGAATAGTTATTTTAAGTTACAGGAGAGCAGATTTCAATTAAATGTTAGAAATAATTCAACAGTAAAATTAGCCAGAGGTGAAAGGTTCCTTCTCACTGGATATGTTCAAGTGGAAGTTTGGATAGCTATCTAATGGTAATCCTTTACTGAGCACTTGATTTGGAGGACCTAGGCAACTCTAAGATTTCTTCTTCTATTATTGTAATGAATCTATTCACTCTACAGGATTTGTAAGCAGCTTGTTATTAATTCACTAGGTAGCAATTTGTGCTGCCCATTCACTACCAGAACGGTGGAAACCAATGGAGTGGAGTGGATTTCTCCTTCACTTTGCAGTGCCATCCCAGAAATGTGCACCAGATGATTGGTGGAGATTTGCTTCAGTGCAGCTTTGAAGCAAAGGACTAAAACAGTACGTCTGCTCCAAAAACAAGCAGTTCAGCATAGTCAGCACAAAAATAGCTATTAATGTTTTAACTGAATGCATACACACTAACAGTAACAATTTGGGGACAGTGGAAAAGAGCAGGAGGTGTAGAGAAAACCAGGGGATGGGGGAAAATACACAACTGAGGATCAGAAACAATACTTGGAAGACTGTGGTCATGGCTGCTTCACTATCTTTAGCAGTATTTCTTTCCCTTCCTGATTTTTCTCCATCGATGATAGCCAGAAGACAGAAACACAGTGCACTTATTACAATCTACTCTGATTTGGTTCTCCTATGTGTTTTTCCCTATCAGCCTAGAAAAATGACAGAAAGGCACAAAGGCAGACTAATTCCAGACAATTATTTACCCAGATAAAGAAACAGCTGCCTTCTCTTGACAATGAAGATGAGTTTCTAGCTACCAAGCACTTGATTAGTTAACATAAAACTGCTGGCATCCCCAAGGTGAACACCTCACTTTGGAAATGGCAGCTGCTGATGAATAATTAAATTCATTTTCTGTCCCAATCCCCATGCACATTTGAGATGTTATCCTCCCCCAAAATGAGCTTTGCACAATAAGATGGGAAGCTACTGAATCAGGAGGTAATCTCCAGTACCTGGAACGTTTGCATGTTAGCCTTGTTTCATTAAAGACCATTAGGAAAGTTGTACTATCCATGGCATTTAGATACAAGTGAAGAAGTCATTTCCTGGATTGTGTGGAGAATGCCATAGCTTTGCTATTGGATTAAATACAGAACCACCAGGCTGTTGTCAGAAATGGAATCAGAAATTGAATGTTCTCTTAGCTTAGGCTCCATAGCAAATTACAAACCATGTATGATGATATGACATGTGCTGATATGACGTTATATGTCCTCTCAAAATCACTGGTTGCTGCTGGCAAGATGTTTTATGGCACATTATGGAACTCAAAGTAGCAGGGTTTATTATGAGTATTCACTGGATTTTGCAGAGTTCTGAATCCTGATGATGGAAAGGTAATGTGGAATTCATTTTTATATTCCAGGGTATTCAAGGATTTTGTGATTATGTTGCAACAGAAACATTTATCATTTACATAAAACCCCCCGAGGGGGAAGAGTATTGATGACCAAAAACCATCTATGCTCTCAAATCAAATTTTAACATCTGCTCAACATTATTCTACTTCGTTGTCACAAGCATCATAATTTCTAGAGCTCATCATAAACTATTAAAATTGGTGATATTGAAGACTTGCTTCAAATCTATTTATATATATCTATTTAAGAAGTTATGACAAAAAAAGAAAAAGAATTACTGGAAACACAACTAAGACACCACACCACAATGTTATACTAAAAGAATAAAGATTTTTATTAAGCATTGTAAGTTGCATTCAATAGCCTTCAAATACACCACACCACAATCCATCTACAACCAATCAAACCCAACAGTAGTTCATTCTTGCACAATCCATGAGTTGGGGCAGAACTCCCTTCAACTTACATTAAGATACCTACTTAGCTCTTGCGGGCAGGGAATGGGGAATTACACCTCATTTCTGATCACTAATGTGTGATGAAGAGCATCAGGAGAATTATATGAAAACGAATATAAAGAAATGATTCTGATTCTGAAGTACATTAAGTTTGGAAACACTAACAAAAACATCAAAATGATACAGGTATATTTGCTTATACTAAATTCTTGATGGGAAAGTTCTCAAGAACAAGCCATTTGTTTCCTGCTACAGAAGGGGGGTATTTCTTGAAGATCAAAGCTTTTTTTTTTTGTTTTTCCACAGAATTTCATATTTGCTAATATGAAGGCATAAAACAGCAACAGAGAACAATAATGCATACAGCAATGAGTACACCAGGGTAACGTTGATATTCAAAACGGCTAGATAATTTTTTTTTGTTTTAGAATAAATGCAACAGAGGTCAATAATCACAAAATTTTAAGGTTAGAGCAAGATCAGTCAATGACTAAACATAGTTAACATCTTTTATAGGACTATTACTGATTATTAGCTTTTTTTTTGTTTTGCAAATGGGCACAGTACTTGTAAGAATGGAAGAAAGAGGACAAGAACATGCATAATATTAACTACACACTTTAAAATTATGAACCATGCAGAAGTTTAGCTCAAATAGTAGTACTAATGGTCTACGTCTGATTCAAAAACCACATAGTTCATTGATCACGGATGCATGGTATTAGTCACAAAAAGTATCAGAACACATTGTGTTTCTTTTGAAAAGGTCATTTGCATCTTCTATGATTTTCAAGTTAAATCCATTTTAACTTGCTTGTAAAGTATTATGATGTATATTTAAAATCAGCAGAACTCCAATATTACTCTATAATTTTTTTATTTTGATAGTTTGCACATTTTAAACATAAAAAGAACCACATCAACAGTGATGAAATTTAAGAAAAGAAAGAACTGTGGTTGTGCCTTTCCCCCCCAATCAAGAAATCAAAGCCTTAAGGAAAGCTTTGTGACACAGTAATGCAAAATCAAATATAATGGCATACATATGGTGCCAAGTACTAAAAATTATATTTTAAGCTATATATACTGAAAGACTGCCAAAATTTGTTTTTCTTTTTCTTTTTAATATATTTCAAGAAACAAAAACTACAAGCTTTTGTCATAACCAGTTTAAACTTTGTGTATACTTCATTTTAAGTGCGGGAGTCAAATGCTCTTCATTCTCTTTCATTTTTATTGTATTGTAGCATTTTGACTACAACTGGTTAAAACTAAAAATGTGTTCTTTAAATCTCTGACATCCAAGAGGGATCCGAATTTCCAAGTCCTCATTTTTCTCTTACGGAAAGGAAAAAATGTACGTAACTGTAGGCTCTCTTTCTTTCCAGATATTCCTAATCCTGACCCTTCCAACATCCTTCACCCTCTATAAAAAATAAGTTTACTCTTCTTTTTTTAAGACAGTAGCCTCAAGAGCATCGTCTTTATGGCAAACACTGTCTGCATTTAGTGCATTTAAGTGAGGATTTGTATTGCACATTTTAGAGTCATTACTCAAGGCACTTTCAGACTGGTTGGAAGCCCTGACATCTGCTGCACTCCCATTCATTTGGGAAGCTGGTTTCTCCTCATTCATTATGCCATTTTCAGCCAGGGATCCTTCTGAAGACACAATAGAGGACTTGCTTTCCTCTGATTTTGATTTAAGTTCTTTGGCCACTTCCTCTGCTGAAGCAGCGTAAGGAGGTTTGCCCTGTTTTTTAACAATAAAAATAATAAAAAAACAAAAACAAAGGAGGAGATTAGTTAAATATAACTGAAAGAGTTACCAACTTAGGAAAATAACTGAAATTTAGCATTTCTTGGGATTTTTATTACACAGAATACAATGTCTGAAGTTTTAAAAAAAAATTCTATGATACTAACAGTAATTTTCGGTCTGGGAAGCAGTGTTAATAACAGGCATTTGTTAGACAGCCATTTGCAATCCACATCATCAGACATATTAACTGGCTTAATACCTGATAATAAAATATCCAATGGACAATGTCCAGGTTTACTAACTGGTTACTATGGAAATAGAATACTAAGTAAGACTTTGATATCACCCAACAATTTGGCACTGCTTTTTTATTTTTTAATGAAAACTACAAGAAAAATGGATTTCTTAATCCTCTGTTTGGCCTAATGCACATATCTTTTTAAAACAACAATCCCAAGGCAACATTAACTTACATTAACAAAAATAGTTGATCCCTGATTTTGTTTCCATTACCTGAATAGCTCCCTGGTTCTTATAAGCTCTCCCATAATATCTTCCTCCTCGGCCAAACGTTCTTATCACTGGTGTCGAAATAACTCCTCTAGGACGTCTTTATAGAACCAGAAAAAGGTAAACAAAAGTTTAAACTTCATAAATTTCTCTGGAAATACAGTAGAATTCAATTTCCCATGCATAACCAGAAAGATGGTTGTTTTTCTGTATTTTCAGAAAGGAACCAAAACCTATTATTTTAATAGAATGAATTCTATCTTTGCAATATTTCTTCTCTTTACATTATGCATTTCCTACTTGACAGCTAATTAACCTAGCAACAGAAAAGTTTACATTCATTTGAATAATTGTTGATAATATATTTTATATTGGAATAAAATCATGCTCATAGCTAGAACATATTCTTAAGCAGCCTTAACTGTAAGATTAGAGTTGAAGAAACTTCCTCTGAATAGATTCAATTGTATTTCTTTATTAATTCTTAATTGCCACTCAATTTTTGCAATCTCACCCTAGCACTGCTATATTTTTCTAATTGCAGTAGGGTTAATTTCCTAATTATAGTAACATTAATTTCCCAATTATAATGCAATGTAATTTTATTTATTTATTGGATTTACATGGCTGCCCATCTCAAATACATGACTCTGGGAAGCAAACAATAATAAAACCACATACAAAATATCACATAAAAAAGCATAGCAGCCAAGGACAATTTTTTAAAAGATCATACAATTAACACAATCAGGAAACTGGCTCTATGATATACCCGGGGCCCGAAGCTTGAGCATAGAACCAGGTCTTCAAGGCCTTGTGGGAGGCCAGTATGGTCAGGGCAACCTGATCTCTGGAGGGATGGTATTCCAGAGGGCAGGCACTACAGTAGAAAAGGTTCTTCTCCTGGGCCCCACCAAATGACACTTCTTAGCAGACAGGACCTGGAGTATGCCCCTCCTGCTCAACCAGATAGGATGGGTAGAAACAACTGGGGAGAGATGGTCCTGTAAGTAACCTGGCCCCAAGACATGAAGGTGACTACGAGCACCTGGAATTGCACCAAGAAGCACACTGATAGCCTATGCACCTCATGATGACACATATCCTGAACAACAAGTGCCCCTAACTGCCCATGCCACCATATTCTGCACCAGCCGAAGTTTCCAAATGCTCTTTAAGGTCAGCCCCATGTAGAGTGCATTGCAGTAGTCCACTGTAATGATTTTACATTATAAACTTACCAAACTCCACTCCCACAGGTTCTTCACACCCTAATCCCATCTCCTGAATACTTCTTTGGGGCAGTGGCTTGTTTCTGATGCCACCCACTATCTTTTGGGGGGTGCCATACCTGGTACCCACCCCTAGCCCTGGTATGCTGTGAGAGATAAATCTTTCCCTTCCCGTGCTGCCTTTCTTTCCATTAAAAAGTCAAAATCCAAAAGCTACTGTAGTCACCTCCTAACCAAGGTGCATGCAGGTGTCGTGATTAATTTTCTCTAGAGACCCCAAAGTGGTGGGTGGTCTACTACAGATGAAGAACTCTCTGCCTAAATATTACAAATAACAACACAATTCTGAAGAAAAAAAAGTATCTTCGTGAAACTAGTTTGAAATATGCATGATGGATTAAACTGAACATCACAAAGTCTTTAGAAATAAAAAACCTAGCACAAATTCCTGGCCATCTATTTCTATAGAAACAGAAGGATTCCTGAAGCAGATGGTCCTCTGCTTCAATTTTTGGACTTGTCCAGTTGCTTGGAGATTCCAATATTAATCAGAAGTGCTACGAACACAGGGTGCCATGTTCTTCACCCAGTTTCTGTGCTCATTTTTCAAAAAATAACCTCTTTTCTATAACCAGAAGGAGGGGCTGAGGTGATCTGACTCTGTATATGACAAGAAGCCACCCCTTGCTCACAGAGATGTGGACTGAGAATCTGTATTCTCTAGAATGTGTCTTGGATGGATTCTACATTCACCATAAATTAGCATGATATATTAATTTTTAAAATTCTCCCAGGACTAGATTGCCTATTTTGTCTTTCAATATTGGTATACTACAATAATTTTTAAACCTTAGAGAGTTTTCAGTAAATTCACAGTCAGCAATGTGGCCTTCTATGTTGAGAAAAGCTTCACAGATTTATGCCAATTTCATTGACCCATGAAGGAAGTTCACAGGTAAAACCACTAGTAGTGACATAGCAAACAATGACATCTCTCTTTATTTTTACATTCTAAGCAGTTGAGCCAATACCTGCAAACCAATGTTTGCTCACTGGACAGTCACCACTGCTATATCATAATCAAGTCAAAATCCAGCAAGCATCTCTTTTTAATTAATCCAAACATAAATGCAATGTTCATTTTTGCTTACCCTCTTGGCCCGCCAACAGAAACCACCTGCAGAGGAAATGGCCCTCTGCTTCCTCCTCGACCACGTCTGCTTCCAGCCCAATGGCCCACCACAGTGCCAGCTATTTCCAGCTTCCCTCCCTGAGAAGGAATAGGTTGGACACCTAAACCAAGATTTAAAGAGGTGTTACTCTGCAATGGAAATTTAAATGGAGGAATTTATTACCTCTGAAAAACAGCTTTTCTTTTTTAAGAGTGAGTTCTTGCACATACCTGCATAGCTTTGTGACAAAGTAAGGTGTGGGGCCACTGAGGTCAGTGGCACAGCAAGTACAGACAAAATGCTGCATCCAATTCATTAACTGTTGTGAAATGAATGCAGTACAATATGAGTTTATGATTCCGAAATCACATTTGGGTAAATGACCTGTTTTGGATCCCAAACTTTCCTGCCCCAATGTAAGCTTCCACAAGCCCTGTCCTGTTGTAAATAAAGAGTAGTTTGGGGTTTGCTGGTGTATAAGTGAATGACTAGGAGCTGCTAACATGTAAACTAGCCAGGGTAGTCCTGTTATTTCAAAGGAAGTATTTGGACTTTTAACCCAGTTGTTTCAGACTTTCCTACTGAATAATGTGGAAGAAAAAAAAATCTACAAGTATAATTTTCAACGTTGCTGCGAGAATCTCAGATGTTTCATATTTATCAAAAAGGAAAGTTGCATTAACTAATATTTAAAACACTGAAACAAGCTACAGATGCATTCTAAAACCTTCAGAAAGCTTTCCTTTCAAAATGCATCTAATGTTAAACTTGAATATTTGTATCTATTAGTACAATTTGCTACTTTAGTTTAGAACAATCATTTCCAAAGATCTAAGGAAGGAACATTAGCTATACATGACTAATTAAACTAATAGCAAAAAGGTTAAAAGTAGTTAGAACCAGAAGTAATGTAAATGTAAATTTACTAATGACTACAATGTTGATATGGTCAGAGAATTTCATTCTTCTTTGTACCTTGTTATCTGGTAATAGCACACTAGCTGCTACATTAGGCTGCTAAGCACTAGATGGCAAGTGCAGTATCAAACCAACTCGGCCTGATCTCAAGAGCTTAGCAAGGTTAGGCTGGTTAGTTCATGGATGGGAGACTACTAGGGAGTTGGCAAAGTGCTTCAGCAAAAGACAGTGGCAAATCACTTCCACAACACTACAAAGAAAACTGCATGGCTGTAATCACCAGGGCCTGAGCTCAGTCTGAGGACATCCTTACCTTTAAGTGTAGATTAAATAGATCTTTGATTTAGAGGGCACATAGGAATCTGTGAAAAGTAATTAAAGTGTAGGAATTTTCTATTCCATCTTTCCACATACATGCATTGAAGAAAATGGGAGAACTCTTTCTTTAAAGCATGTGTTTTATTTTGGAAACACAAACTCATACAATGAATGATGGAAAGTTCAGGTCAGCGCACTGTTGCTGTGAGCAATAAGAAAAGGGGATTGGTAGTATTACCGCCCTGAAACTTGCTAGTCCTGTTGCCGTCCCCGCCAGAGAAAGCTCCGGAGTGTCCTCCTGTGGCAGTCACTCGGAAGGTCCGATAAGCGCCTGCTGCAACCGTTTCCCCATAAGGGCCCCCAAAACCATAGACTCCTGTGGAAGGGAGGGGGACAGATCAGAATTGTCCCATGGAATTAGTCCCTGACCTCTGCTTCTTTCACCACAGTTTCCATGGCTGATGGATGATAATATACTAATTGAGCAGCAACATCAAGCCAGAAACAGAGGAATTTGCTGGACTCATTATATATTAACATTGATGCTAGATGCATTTATTTATTTATTTATTTATTTATTTATTTATCTATCTATCTATTTATTTATTCATTCATTCATTCATTCATTCATTCATTCATTCATTCATTCATTCA